ACCTTAATGTGTCATTCATAGGTGATACTGTGAGGAGAAATTAGAAACAAGTAACTCTTAGGGGTTAAATGGTTAATGTAACATTTCTCATGTTACATGATTATTAAGGTTTTAAAAATGACTCAAAAAGCTGTTCGCGTTAGTCAGTGTGGTACTCACGTGAGAACTGTGCTCTACCGCGTAAACGTAGCCTGATGGAATAAAACTTTGAGAAAAAAGCTAGCACACGAATAAGATTTACTTAATTTGAAAGTAAACCTATTGAATGAGCTGTTAGTAAAGTGATAGTAGTAATCATTAACCTGTTCTTTTATTACTATTTATCACATAAACTGCGGTGTTGTACAAGGATTTCCGGCCCTGAAAAGCCGTAACAACACACGTGCAAAAAAATCGTATTTTTCCACGTGTGTTGATATAGCCAATCAGCTGCTTACACGTCACTCGCCTTTGGCGCCACTCGGTCAGATTGATCAATTGACGGCAAAGCCTTCACGTTCTCAATGCAAGTTGTTTGTCAGAGTTTTCTCGAATTATGGCGGCTAAAACACTAAACTAGTTATAGTTCTCACTAGAGCTGCCCCCGCCCTACAGTACCATCATCAATCAAATCAAAAATCGAAATCGAGATTTTTTTTGGTTACGATCAACCGAAAACACCTACATTCTCTCTTCTCCAGTCTTCCTCTATACTAGGACAAATCTCGTGTCAAAGACGCCGATCCTAAAAGTCCTCGCGCGCGTGTCTTTTTACTGGCAGCCCATGACCATTTGCGGGAAAAACGTCGATACCTTGCGGCCGTGCAAGCGATCAAATCGAGATTTTTTCTGGTTATGATCTACCGAAAATACCCACATTCCCTCTTCTCCAGTCTTCCTCTATATTACGCGGGGAGTCCTAAGGTGCCTCCTCGGGTTTTTGGCCCTCTGGGGCCAAAAACCCTGCGGGGGCAAAAATCCGTATCGCTGACAGACTCGAATGAGGTTCAAACTTTCCTAGAAAGGGAGGAAAACCGAAAGTTGCGTATTCAGTGGCTTTGGTGTTAGCATTTCTCTCATCTGAGAATGAAAATCGACAACTGGAAGATTTGCCACTAGCCGATTTTGGCCGTTTACCTGAAAGACTTCTTCTTTCGGTAGGGACATAGTCAATAAATGAGAATTTTGTAAATTGAAAATTGCGACCATTTTTGTTTTTGTAATCATAATTCAACGCATTTTTCGAGGATTGTCGATTCATTTATTTTCATTCATTAATTAAGTCGGCTTTTCTTCCCCGTGAAGGACTATTGTGTTTATATGATAAACAAAATAATACATGGTTGCTTGTAGATATGGAATTTCTCTTCTCGTGTTCAACTTGACATCTCACTCGTTCGCTGCGCTCACTCGTGAGCTATCGAGTTAAACACTCGAAGAGAAATTCCATATCTACGCGCGCCCATGTATTATTCTCTATTTATCCCCCACTCTCTCTTTTCCTGTACCCTTCGATAAGTTGAGTCAAAAATAACCCCATTGTAATGCTAGAAGCAGCGTCGTTTTTCTTGTGCAACGTCATAGTCATATGTCACGCATGTAACAAAACAGCATTAGGGAAGTTGCGGCCAAAATAGGCTATTAGTCTGAAGCAGGACACATATCCAGAGTAGAAGACAGCTGGACGCGTTATAGTTAGACCAGAAGTTTATTTATTACAATTCAACAGCACAGAAGACGAAAATTGAAAAAAGATGTGGAAAACGGGTAGTCTTTCATTTCCCGGGTTCTGATTAGCGATATTGGGCACGCATGACCAGAGGGACGGCGGTCGCACAGGACCAGTGGAATCAAAGTGGGCACCCGGGACCAGAGGGACAGCGGTCACATAGGCCCGGAAAAAATAGCCAGAACACGGGACCAGAGGATCTGTGGGAACTCAGGAAAAGAGAGACAGTGGATCCAGATGACCAGGGGGACAGTAGGCACGCAGGACGAGAGTGACAGTGGGAACCCACGACAAAAGGACACAGAACCAAAGTACTGAAGAGAAGGCGAATAGAACTAGAGGGACGGTGGGGATGCAAGACCTCAGCCTCAGTGGGCACTCAGGAACAAAGCAACAGTGGATACTCGGGATCAGAGAAACAACAGATTCACAGAACCAGAGGACTTTGTGCACAATGGATTAAGGGACCTTTGGGCACACTTAAGCGGAGGAACAGTGGACATACAGGAACAGGGGACAGTAGGCATTCAGGAACAAAGGAACAGTGGGAACCCAGGACTAAAGGACACAGAACCAAAGCACTGAACAGAAGGCGAATAGAACTAGAGGGATGGTGGGGATGCAAGACCACATCCTCAGTGGGCACTCAGGAACAAAGCAACAGTGGACACACAGGATCAGAGGTTCACAGAACCATAGGACTGTGTGCACAATGGACTAAGGGACCTTTAGGCACAAGCAAGTGAAGGAATAGTGGATATACAGGACCAGGGGAACACTAGGCACTCAGGAATAAAGGAACAGTAGGCATTCAGGAACAAAGAAACAGTGGGCACACAGGATCAGAGAAACAAATGGTTCACAGAACCAGAGAACCTTTGGAGACAAAGGACCAGAAAAAAAAAAGAAACAGAGGACACATAGGACCACAGGAACAATTTACAACAAGGACCAGAGGAACAGTTGACACACAGGAAAAGAGGAACAGTTGACACACATCGCCATCGTAAGAAAGCCTTGATCCTTCAAAAAGTATAGGGTCATGGCCAGTTGTTTTTCAACAGACAACACATCAAGTCCTTTTGGACTCCTACCAGGTTGAAGAAAGGGTCGCAATTCATCTACTACAGACATGGAAACTGCACGGTTTATTCTCAAGTTCTTCTTCCGCTCTCTTTCCAGCAAAATTCCATCGAACAAGTTAAGCCACCACTGTTCTGTCCCCCCCGAATTTCTCCACATTCTACCTCGACTACGAGGTAATTCTTATTCGAATGTGTCGAAGTAGTGCAACAGTGGCATTGTACTTCTGCGTTTCCCGAACAGTTAATTGCCTTTGGCGGAAGCTTTGCATCATTAAAGGAGTCAATAAAAAGCCACAGCACTGAAAAGTGGCAGCAAGAGCACCTATTGAAACAAGAACCGCGCAGAGGGAGGGGCTGAGGGTCTTAAGCCCCCCCCCACTTTTTTGCAAAAATAAAAATAAATTAGACAAAAAATAATTTAACAAAAATAACGGATCAAAAAATAGCCCCCTACTCAAAAGCTTGCTGCGCGGTCTCTATAAAGGAAAGAGCATTGACAACCAAAATGTGTCGATTGCCCCCCATTTTGTCTATTTACATGCCTTGTGACTATTCAAAACCTAAGTGCAAGTGATTAGAACAGATTTTGCGTGACCTTACTCTGCTCAACAATACTCTCGAACAGATATTGAATTTAGCCGCTGGGAAAACTGTGCAAACCTCCAATGAGATCGCAGAAAACCGAATTCTAAAGAGTGTTAACTTCCCTCCCAAGGTTTGCAGAACACTGAAAAGGTAAATAGACTTGAAAGTAAATGAAAGGCGACTCGACTAGCCGCTGATGATGCATCCACCGGAAGCAATATATTAAAATATGTCAAAGTGAAATGATGGTTAAGTACAAATCACAGGGGACTGACTTCATCTCTATTTGGGAATGCCCCTTTTTTAATGTGTCAGTAACCAGTGTCGTAAAAAGAATTGCCAAAAAGCAGATTATGTATTCAAAGTTAGACAGCTTTTAGTGGGTTGCACACGATTTAGAACAGGGAATCACTGTTTTATTAATTACCTTTGGGTGCAATGATGTTATTGCTGAACTTTCCATTGTAAAATTCGTTTACAGTTTTCGAAAGGTAGCCATGTATAAATGCAATTTGTCTGAAAAACACATCCAAATCGATTACATCCTTTTTTCGTAAATAAAGGAGTAATTTTCTAAAGAAAATGTGATGCTGCGTAAATGATTTACCGACGCGACCGAGATGCAACGTAAGCACATTTAGACTCCAGATGCGCAAGAGGTCTCGTTTAGTTACTTTATGATCTGCAAATAGATAGGATGTGCAATCGGAACGTATTGCTATACTATAAAACGAACAAGATTGAGGTAAACGATAAAAATAACTATAATAACGATAGAAATTGCATATAATCATTGTGAGGAGCTAATATAAATACAAGGGAAACACGTGACTAACTGCTATGATATAAGTTTTAAACGTGACACGGTATTGATAGACAATCAATCAAATCAGTCAATTACAGACTTTATTTCACTTCGAATTTGTTGATAGCAATAATTCTACACAATAATTAAAGTGCATTAATCGGTGAAATATATGGATAGATACATAAAATTAAATAGGATAAAAATTAAATATTATAGATAACAATTTACATGTATGTACAAGTACTTTCAGAATTTAACATTTGTCACAAGAAAGAACAGCATTTATTATCCAGTATGAAAGTTTTTAGTGCAATTTTGAAGGCAGCAAAAGAAGTAGACACACGGACATTATCCGGCAATAAGTTCCATAGTTTGCTGGTATGACATCAAAACGAATGAAGACCATAATTTGTTGTATTTTACATGTGGGATAATTAAACGGACCCTTACTTTAAAAAGCGCAATCGGAAGGCATCTTTACACTTTAAAACTAACAAGTTTGAGGATACCGATGAAAATAACTATAATAATTATAGAAATTGCACATAATCATTGTGAGTAGCTAGATAAATATAAACACAAGAGAAACACGTGACTAACTGCTATGACATAAATTTTAAACGTAACATTGTATTGATAAACGTTCCTCCCCTTCAAAGGGTAGTTTCTACATTTCTCTGTTGATGACTTTCACCATGGTTGTCGAGCCGTATTTACATCAGTAGAGAACTTTATTCCAACTCGTCTGAAGAGTCACAGGTTTATTTGAGGGACAGGATTAAATAAAAATAATAAAACAAAAACTGTCATGAAATAAGTAACAAAAACACGTTTATTATCTGATTTACATTGTCAAGACGGTTTATAATACTGGTATCACATCTATAGTAGGTCATTCAATATGTTCCACAATCTTGGTGCATAAAATTTAAAAGAATGCCTCCGTTTGGAAGAAGTATATTTACGTGGTAACTGAAATTTGTTTTGACCTCCGAGTCCATCAAAGTCACAATAAAATGTTAAGTTCTTGATTAGAGCTATGTTACTATATATGTCTGTCCCCTTGAAGAACTTGTGTGTCCTAGCCTCCATGTTAAGTAGTCTTCTCTCTCTCTCTTGGGAGTTGACAAGTCCCAGATTATCAAGAAGAGTTTTGTATTTTTTAGTTTTACAATTAGTAATAATTCGAAATATATTTTTATTCGGAGTTTCCAGTTTAACACAATTTTTCACACTAAAGAAATGCAACATTTACTGCAATTTTGGGGGTTGACATAAAGAAAGTCAAGAAAGTCTTGTAAAGCCTTGCTTTGAGTTACTGAGAGTATGTTTGAATCTTTCGACTACTTTCACTGGAATGTTTCCCTTCCACAGACGTTGGAAGCCTTCGTAATTCTTGATGTTACTGCAACCATAATATCCATGTTCGAGTAGTTCTGTCTGACAGCTTAAGTATTTACAGTATGCAATTAGGCTGTCAGCTAAGATACCACTTCTTAAAAGCAGATGTTACTCGACCCTTCTTCCAGCAGTTCGGATAGAAATCCTGAATAATTGAGGCATTAAAGATGATGGAAAGGGGACCTGATGTAATAGAAGTAGAGTCCTTGAGGGGACGTGAAGTCACCAAATCATTTTTTTGGAATACAGTCACCTCCATGATCTGAACTCGTTGCCTTACTAAATCACAGTAAAGCACTCCTTCAAACACTTGTGATGAGTGAATGATTAAGAAAGACAATAGTGTTTAGAATTGCCAATACTTCTCATGGACGTTACAGCTGTGCTAACTCGGTAATGTAGGATGGTCTTGTGCTGTCAGCGACGAAATACTGCTGGCATTGTTATAGGCTCATAGTTCAGTTTGAATTTTCCTACCAAATTTTTTCATTGCAACCATTTAATACTGTTAGACAGAGACTTAACTGTAAATAGACAGGGCCTTGAACCTCGGTTGCTTAAACCTGAACGTCTCCAACGTGTTTTTCCTCGAATTAAGACAAATAAAAATCATCGTTGGGTTGAGGAGGCATCTAACTGCAATATTCCATCGTCTAATAAACAGTTAGTCCTGTGGTTCGAAAATAATCAAATCTGAACGTCAATTTAACAATAGATTCCAAGTTGCCGTGCGTCTGTTAAGTAATAGATCACAGATGACGTCAAAATGTTGTAAGAACAAAAAGGTGGCACACGAGGCACAGCCGAGTGTGTCACTGATTTTCTGACCACATTTTGACGTCCTCTGTGATCTATTACTGAACAGACGCACGGTTACTTGGAATCTATTTGTTTTATACAATAAAAAATGTTTAAAAGTTTTAATGATGACGTCATTCATACGTCTGTCCTCCAATAAATCATAAGTGAGAACCAACCAGAATGCGTGCATAACTGAGCTTATTATATCAAACATCATAGACTTATTCGCTTTTCTCGTTTCTCTCGCTTTTTAAAGTAAATTTTTCTCTGAAGTTTGTCTGCAGCACCATCATTTCTTGCCCTCCTAGTAATTCAGTTTTGAATTGAGACTTGCAATACTATAATTACTTTGTGATATAAGGCAAGCTGCTTGGGCAGACAGTGTAGATAAATTTACCCACGATATCATCTCTTCAAGCGCAAATAAATATTGTAGGTGGGTTTTAGATGAAAAATGCCTGACAAGATATTTTAATTGTCATATGCATTTACAGCATATGATATATAAGCCTGCGTTGAGACTTTCCATAATAATCTCGTTTTTTTGCCTGGTACTAGTAACCGTAATTTAGTTTGAATATACAAGTTTTATATATAGATTATATATAGGACAGGTCAACAGGAGTAACGTTACAAAGCTGAGCTAAAGTGAAAGTGTTCTTTTACAAAAAAGTTTGGAATCGTCAAGGTAAACCTTTATGCTCCAGGTATAAACATCTATCATCTTTGTTACATCTATCTTGTGTTTGCAGCATGTCCAGTTCTCACAATACTGGTGGTAAGCAATGCAGATATTTTGAGTGACCGCCAGAACCTTTTAATTCTCATATTTATAGTGTTGTTATCCATGCCTTTTTGATTTCGTATGATAGGGTCAGTCGATTTTTTATTTTTGCAATGACCGTTAATAATTTGATAAGATATTTAGGTTATTAGGCCTACCCCCCTGTAAGGAAATCATAATACTCCACGGAATGAGAAATTTGCAAATCTGCGCTTGGAAATTTTGAAAAAAGTGGAATTTTCGTCTTGACTAAAAAGTAAGTTCCACTCCCAATTCCCATGACACGGCATAGCATTCTACATTCTGCTGTCTAATATATAATATTTTTAACCTGTTATTGAAATGGTTTCTGTTGAGATCGAATTTATAAGATGCTGATTTCCCTGATTTCAACCTTCTCTGTCTTGATGCGCTAGAGTTAGACTGTGTTTAGGAAGGTTTACGATCGATTCAAAAACTACAGGAAACTCATAAAATGTTTCATCATCTTTAGTTTAATTGATATTCACAATAACGCATCCGTATAAATGTTTTCCTGCATTGGTAAGATTATGTTATCCCTTTGTAAATTCCACCTTTTCCTTTAATGGTGGTTTGCTCGAGTAAAAGAGGAAGCTCTTAGCCCTTCTCAATCAAGTTTAGCAAGATTTTGTTGTTAATGTGGAATTGATTTAACTATTTGGTTTGTTCCACTGACATCAATGATAGAGGTTCAGCGGTCGATGAACTCACTTCCGTAGCCATCTTTCGGTTTACCAAACAGCTCGCTTCTCCTTAGGAAAATCATTCGTAAGATTCTAAAATTTCCTTAGATACATCAATCGATTGTTACTTAAAAGGTAGAGAATCATTTAGTATCATTTTCATTCGCGTGATAATTCGTGTTTTGAGTCACAAGTATTTTTACGAAATACAACATTCAAATACATAGTGGATATAGATGATATGCTTCGTAAGCACATTTCAATAAAACGACGACGCTGCATATTTATTTGGAATTCCTTTGGGAAATGCTGTTTCGTTATAGAATCAATTACTAGACAAAAAAACTCTTACAGACAACACACGGTACAAGTTTCATATTTTGCATCAAATTTAGCCTCTTTTCCTCGAAAATTCGAACAGATTTCATAATTTTAGGCAACAGCTACACAATACATCCGTTTGACAGCGAGAAACTAAGTCAACAGGTAAATATTAATCGAGTACCCGTCGCTGGAACAACGGCGAATACGTTCAATTTTTGAACGTATTTTTCAAATTTGCGAGGCAAGAATATTATCCAAATAAAAATCTCTTAACATCTATATCGATTCGTTTGGAAATTAATTATTTTTTATTTTTTTTTCTTAAACGAGCAAACGATTTCAGTCTCTAGCGAGGCAAAGTTAAAGCGCTGATTTCAGTTTGTGCCTAAATTTAATCTCTCTTATTCAGTATTGTGAACGCTTGACTTTGGTCAGTATGAATGAAAAGCGATATTTTGATGACCTTTAACAAAAGTTTTGATGTTTGGAAATCTTACCGGTCTTGGCTTCGCTCCACTAACAGTTGTCACGATGCACTAGTTCCTATAGTCAATGCTCTAATTGCACCGTTTTTAGGCTACATCTAGCCATATGTTGTTACATCGACGTATTCTGCAATTTTGAAAATACTTTTCCGCCTGATGTTGTAAAGAGAGGTTCACTCGTGTCTTCGACTAGATGAAATCACTCACGAAAAGATGAAATCACGAAAAACCTCGTGGCATATTTTAATTAAAACTCAGTTCCTATTTCTGTCAACCAGTTATAGCTCGGCAAATAAACTCGTGACGAATGTGTGATCATGTAGAAATGAGCATTTCGCCTGTTCTGGGTGTTATCATTGTTCGCATTCATTGAATAATATTTTATTTATTGCTCAAGATAATTTCATCTTGAGTGAAAATTGATTATCATTAATTTGACGATAAATTAGCTCTTGAAGTGATTTATGTATTTTAAGCTGAGGTTTTTCCTGTTGGCTATTTTGCCTACACCGGTTTAGGTAAAAATCAACGGCTGTATCGATGAGATACGAGGATTCCCCCGTGGTTACGACAAATTTCTCCTTCTCTTGGGAGTAGTAAACCTAGAAATGATAACTCGCTAAAATGGCCTCGTTGCGAGAAAGTAAGCGGTCAGAAAACAAGCAATGCACTGCATTTTCCATTTTCAGCGAAAATTTGACTGTATTTTCAAGTTTTATTCCAAAGAGCGGTCATAAATATTCCCATACAAACTCTCATATTTTCGCCATGATTTTTATTACGCAAAAGGATCATCTCACAGCTGGAGCTCGGGCTGCCTGTGGGTAGACGGGCAAACGTTTGGCAAATTGATAGCTGATGCTTATCTAAGCCATTTTTTTCGACGTTTGGAAATCAAATTGAAATACCAGCGTTGACCATGTAGCCTCTTCAACGAACAAGCATAAATTGCACAAATATTTCAGATATTCAACGTTTCCTGTTTCCTATTTGTATATTTCCTCTAAGTAAAAAAAAAGATTTTTCCTCTAGCTGTATACAGGCTCCCCATACTTTATTGTAAATCTCCTCGAATAAGTCTGCGTTTGTTAAACGAAAGGCTTTAGGGAATTAAATATATGATTCATCCGCCAGTCTTATGTTATCGGAAGGACCTCTGCATAAATTTTGTGACTATTAAAAGATTCTCGGACTCCTTCATGGGAAACCAACACATCTCGACAGACTGCTAGACGAATCATCCTACAACCCGACATCACACAAAGCCACAACTATCAGGACTCTAACACGACGAGTGTTACCAGTATGTAACACGACAGACAGCTTATCCGACGAAAACAAATACCTCGACCGTGAATTTTTTAAAAAAAGAGATCAATTGCTCCGACTGCTAAGCCTCCTACATCGGAGAGGCTGGCAGAAACCTCACAACAAGACTGACTGAATACAAGCGGGCGACGAGGAAAGGTGATTTCAAGAATCTCATTGCTGAACATCACGGACCTACGAAGCACACATACGGCACTGGTTTACCAACTTAGATTAGACTACCCTGAACAGGTGTCAATCACTACCGGCACCATACAAACAACTTACTCACGAAATTAACATCACAGACGAACCGAACAGAACGACCTAACTTTACTGACAGATCGAAACAGACCAATCACGACCGACCAACGGCACTTGGGTTTTACAGCCAATGACATCATAGCAAAACTGACCGATCAGTTTATACGAACCGGACTTAGAACATTCGACCAACCACAACCATTCATTCAACTCTGATGATGACTTCCGCTCTATTTGTCAAAACATCAGTTACCATTACCGACAACTGACAGTCCTTCTCAGGACGATCGCACTTCACTATCACGTGTTTTCCCCGGGTTCAAACCATTTGCTGTACCAAATAGTTCATTACTTTTTTTACTCTTTTGCATCAATAAAGTAAGCTTTTATCAGCGCATTCCAATTCTGCATGGCAAAATATCAGTAAACGTTGCTCTCATAGAGGTTAGCTTTGTTTGTGACGACTTGCGATGCTTCTTCAAATTATTAAGGCATACATAAAAATTTCGAGTCCCAAGTCTTGAGCAACAACAACGAGAAATAATGATGATAATAATGATAGTGATAGTAACGAAAATGTTAGTAATGATGACGATAATGACGATGATGATAAAGGGGATCGAAATGCGTTAGTGAAAATAAAATAAAGGGATGCAAACAATAACGCGTATCGTCGGAACCCATTGCCCGACGAAGGCTTACCACATGGAATCCGAAACGTAACAATTTGAGAATGGACAGCGACTGAGAAAAGGGAGACAGATAGATAGAGATAGATAAAATAGTAGAAATGCACATATATTGTAAAAGTTTTTACCACTCTTCCCATCATTTTAGCTGCTTTGTTTTCAACAATTGTTGACCTTTTTGTAGTATTACAAATGTCACTAAACTGTAATCTGATTGGCTTATCCACTCGCCATCAATCTATGTCGTGATGGATGATTGTGATGGTGGATTCGGGCTCCCCCCTCGTCATCTATTACTATTATTATTATTATTAGAATTATCGTGCTCATCTAATTTTTAAGCATAAAGTAGACGGACATGTTATATTTTCCATGTACTATTAACTTTTTCAGTTTCGATATGGCTACCTTGTGTAACCTCATGTTTTTTTTACGGTGTGATGATAATTACCGATACAGGTGCACAAAGTTAAGTAAACTTCCCACCTTCTTCGTCATTCCACATAAAGCATGCCTGGACATCCTCTTTCAAAAAGGGACAAAGAGGCTTTAGCCGAGAAGTACCTTTGCCTATACTGTCAACTGCTTCTAAGAGACGCCATGCAGACAAGTTGTGGACATTTTTATTGCCAGTCATGTTTGGTAAATCTCATTAAGTAAGTGTACGTTCGAAGATTTTAAACTGCTACTATTTTTGCTGTTTTATATTATCATCACTAAAGACGTACTGGTTACACTATTCATATTAGAGAGATACCTAACTGATTCCTGTTCCATCTTACAAATCAGTGGCTGTTTTTCTATCAGGGATGAAACCTCCATGGTGATGATATGTTTAAAGGATCAGACAAGGCTTTTGTCCACTCAGGTTTGGATTTTTTTCTTTGTACTGTGTCTTTTTCAAATGCGATCTTATGTAATTACAACTTTTATAATCAAAAAGCGAATTAAGTAGGAAATTCATTATACATCTCATTAGTCAGCGTTTATTTTAGACTTTGAAGGGAAGGTTTGGGTCACCCCTTGGTGAAGGCAAAAACAAACTAGATCATCCCTAAACCGCGAGCCTGCTGATGGGCGTAAACGATAGCCGTTTCAATTGGTGCCACTGTCTCACAAGCGCACCAGTAATAACAACACTTTTCTTTTTTAATGAAGATGATTTAATTTTCTAACATTTTACTTGAATTGTCTGGCATCATTAGGAATCCTATGCTTAAAAAACAAAACAGCAGAGCAAACTCAGAGAATGACAATAAAGCATGACGTGTAAGCAAAATTTGCATGCGAGCCGGAAGTAACAGGTAACACAGCGCAATTAAAATGGGAACCAAAAAAAACCTTAGGTAAAACGTATATTAGTGCGTTTTTATTCAAAGAAGCAATACGATTTGCTAGTTGAAAAGGAGCAAGTCTATTTTAACCTTGATCAGCGGGATAGCAAGGGTACGGGTAAGTCGAATGTCTCTCTCCTGCTCCTTAATTCTGGCATGTATAGGTCTTCTGGCCTCGCTGATGTGAACTGAAACAAATTCACTTGGGATCATGTTTACCATCCTGTGAACCTTCTCACTTAGTCAAGTCATTTGTGAGACTTTCAGCGCGCCGAGACTTTAATTAAACACATTCTCTCATTCCTAGTGTTTCGTGAGCCTGTCTTAAGATATATCTTCCGCCGGTTAAAAGAAATATGCAAGCAAGCAGTGGTGCTATCAGACTTGTGGGTAACAGCTTCTACCGAATGAAAGCAACCGTAGGCGTTGCCGTCACCATCCGACCCTACCCTCACTATTAAAATTGAGAGAATTTTTCTAGTGTCGACTCCATTCCTGAGTGTAGTTCGAAGTTGTTACCACCAGCATTCCAAAATGGCAATATGAGATGCATGCATATCGTCTGAGCTTTGGTCATCTCATACGAAAAGATTTCTGAATAAACATTTTTCAAACTCTTCAACGATCCAATTATGATCACCTCTTAATACCTAACAACTGCACTCTCTCAGGTTTTTGCAGACAGATTCATGCGGAGAGAAATACTTGCTCTTGCCGTATGCTGCACATTCTCGGATGACGGATGCCATTGGAAAGGAGAAGTCAGACATTTAGAGGTAAATACTTGTTCTCTTTTATTACTGTTTCACCACTTTTTATTTTAATCCGTTGACGTCCAAGTGGGTTTGGATAAGAATTGTTACGGCAAAGTCGACCGAGATAGAGGTGCTCTCTGATTCTTAAATTTATTTCACTAACGAAGAAAGTTTCCCTTGCATCAATTTGTTTCTGTTTGATTAAAAAATCATTTCTAATTCATGTATCATCCTACGAATTAACCATGACATTTAAACAAATCTACCACTTCATGTAGGCCAAGTTTTCATTTTTACTAGGAACAACTTTGTGATTAAACCATAAACATTCGCCTTCTTTTCGTACAGAAGCCTTAAATAAAGAGGTTTTTTTGGTTGTACTTTAATTATTTCTAGCAAGCCGCGAATATGTATCTGCGACTTAATGACTGAGTACCAGGAGATACTTAAGTATAATTTTGTCCTGTCACAGAGCCATATCTCAACTTGCGAGTTCCTGAAATTACCATGCGTTCATGCCGAGTGTGGTGTATTGGTGAAAAAAGCTGATATTACCAAGCATTTACAGGAGGAATGCAAGTACAGATTAGAAAAGTGCTCATTTTGTCAACAACAGATCAATCTGAACAAGATGAAGGTGAACTGTCTGCATATATTGTTCACATAATGGTGCTACTTTGAGGACACAAATATTGAAAGCCCATAAGCTTTGGTAATCATAGTCAGGACGACCAGCTGAGGCCCAAACTAATTACGATTAGTGCTCTACATTGTTTAGATTTGTCTTGGGTAATAATCTAGCGGAGCCTTTAACTTGTAGAGAATTTGAAATGATTATGACCCTCTTGACAAAACAGCCTTAGTTGCCAAAACAGCGGAAATAAAGAATAGGCATGAGCGCCATTTACAGGCGGTATCAATACTAAGGTGACGTGGCAGAACAAATCATAATAGCTAAATTAATGCAGATTGTCACGAACTTCCTCTGAATGACAAATTCAGCACTTGGGTCAAACGATAGTACATATACTGTACGAGTGAAACACGCACGTTTACTCAAAGTAATTGTAAGTCAAAATAAATTCGATTCAAGCTGTTGAAGCAGGTTGGTAAAAGCTTCCACTGCTCTGTGGTGTGCCCCTCTCTGACTGGTGGTAAAAATGATGGTGCATGCTTTCAGCAACGTGCAGCAAAATTAGATTTACAAGGTTCCCCTTGACCAGGCAATCAAATTGAGGACAAATAATAGAAATGGAAGTAACACTAAAATATTTTCTACAGCTTTGTCTTCATTGAATTATCTGTCCTATAGGTGCACCAGGAGACGGACTGTCCGGCATATCCAATTCGTTGTGGCAATTGTAACAGAGAGGACATTCCTCGTAGACAGGTAAATGTTTTAATTAAATAAGAATGAAGTTGTTTGAATATCGCCTCATAATTTGAAACAGCGGTAAAAGAATGACTCATTGCTAGTTTCAATCTTTTAAAATCACGTGAGGACAATCAGTGCGCAGTGCAATTTCAAAATTTTTATGAAGATATTATCGTTACTTTTATCGTTGCTTCCATTATTAAGTACTACTACTATTATCATTATTATTGTTATTGTCATTATTATCAATTACTATCACTGGCAGGCTAATTTTCTACTTTTTAAGAAATGAGAGACTTCGGGAATTTGGGAATTTGGACTTGAGTGTTTTTTTCGAAAGGAACATCTCACTCATAACCACTGAACTGAAAATTGAATTTCCTTTAGCAGACTAGATCTTGGTTCTCTGATAGTGTCTGTTTTTGGAGTAAAGGATTGACTAGGCTTACCTCTGTTAGTCTATTAAGTACTCGATGAATTACTGATCTTGTTTTTTTAGTTGCGAGATCACCAGGACCCAGTTTTTGGAAACTGTGAAAATGTGGAGGGCCCATGTCCATTTTCACATATCGGTTGTTCAAAGAAAGAGGTCAGTAAGAGATATTTAGTCCATTTACTCTCAAAGCGCTCAACGGGAAGGACCACGCGAAATCATTTAAACAGTTTCTCTATTTCCCACTTCAAGACATCAAAGCCTCTGAAAGTACCCTCTACATATACATCATTGTGTTACAGGTTGTTTCTAAAGATGCAACCAATAGCGAAGAATTGCGATGTAAAGAAAGTTCTCAAACGAAATTGGAGCGTTAACCCTGATCTTAGATAGTTCTAGTAAACATGCATATCTGTATTTATTATTTTCTTAATGTGTGTCGAATTTTTACAGGTCCTAAACAGGCAAGAAAGAAAGAAACATCTGGAACAGGAAAATATATTTCACACGTCTCTGCTCCTTAAAAAAACCTTGCAGATGACTAAAGAGGTTGAAGGTATTTTAACACGAAACCCCTTAGTCATGTCTAGAAACCCTCAGCTCCTTTCAAACTTTGACGGGATAGTTCAAGATATTCTTAACCAGTTGCAAAGTGGTACAGAAGAGAGAAGAAACCAAGAGACCAAATTAAGAGAGCACAGTGAACGAATAACCTCTCTTGAGAGATTTGTGGCTTCAAGAAATGTTTTGGGAACTGAGGCGTCTGTCCAACGTCTGCCTGAATCTGGACGGGATTTGCCATCTGGTGAAAACTCAAGAAGACTGGTCAATCTTGAAAACAGGACCGCTGACCATGAAGTTCTACTGGTCGAGAACAATCGCACAATGGAGGAAGTAAGACGTGATGTCGGCAACATTAAGAGGCAACTTGACACCATCCACGAGAGCACCAGAAGGCATGACCGAAGGATTGAATCTATAGAGCACACACTGGCTCTCAGGAACGTAACCCTGGCTGATTTGGAGGAATACGTAAAACAGCAAGAGTTCTCAAGCTACGATGGCCAGCTGTTGTGGAGGATTCCTGATTATGCCCGTAAACGAAATGACGCAGTGACTGGACAGCAAGTCTCCTTCTACAGCCCGTGTTTCTTTACTAGTCGCTACGGTTACAAAATGTGCGCCCGCATTTATCTGAACGGGGATGGAATGGGAAGAGGAACTCACATCTCGATCTTTTTTGTGGTCATGCGCGGTCAGTATGACGCACTTCTCCGCTGGCCATTCAGACAGAAGGTCACCTTCATGTTGCTAGACCAGGATAACGTGGAACACGTGATTGACGCATTCAGACCTGATCCGAACAGCTCATCCTTTCAGAGGCCAAGAAGAGAAACCAACATCGCCAGTGGGTGCCCGATGTTTTGTTCGCTGGCTGAACTGAATAATCACGCGTATGTCAGAGACGACACCATGTTCTTAAAAATAATTGTAGATACTTCTGATTTGTAGATATGAATGTCCCCTAAATTTAAGGATAAATTTACAGGAGTTTCGGCTCATCTTCTCTCTTCGATTTCACTCACTCATGATGCCTCGAACTCGTACATTTCGCTTGCCATTCAAGGTAGAGGGATCACCTCTGGTAAAACGAAGAAAACAGATGCATTTCTTCATGCAGTAAATATTCTGATTTTTGTCCAGGCATCCCACCGAGTCACCTTGCAGAAACCAGACGGTTTCTAATTAATGTCGGTGAACGATCATGAAAAGATGACAGCGTCGAGCTGTAAGTGAAGATCACGTAATGGTAAGTGATAGCGTTAAAGCCAGGGCTGGTTGTTTTCTGTGGAGGCGCATTAACCTAGTTCGATACAAAGGCATTAAGTCGAGTGCGTTTATCTGGAAATGTGTTTTATCCTTGGGCAAGGTTATTAGCGCCCTGTTGCCCCTCTTTCCCCAAGAGTTTATGGGTTTCATAAGAACTTAAAAGTAGCCTGGCACCGATAACGCCAATTTGCTAACTTGTGCTAAACTAAATGAGCAGGCAATTCCGTTTCAGCGTTTGACTAAAACAAAATGACGACCTAGGACAGACTGACGGCAGTGCGAGTCCAATTATTAGAAGTTCGTGATCAGGTCGCGCAAATAATAGCCGATACATTCTCAATACACCCCTTTCACTACATGACATGATGACGCATGATGGCGTTTCATGTTTTCAGTGAGCAGATTCCCCCCCCTTCCCGCGAAGGTTCTTTTTTAAGCCAATGTCATTATAGTGTACAGAGAGGGTGAAACGAAACACTTTTCATCCATTGCGAAGATGAAAAATAGAGCAAAATTATAAAGAAAGGGTGAATAAGGTTTTTTTTACAATTATGTAGGGAAAAAAGGAAAAAAAAAGACATTTATGTTTAGGAATTAATTATACACCCTGTGTTTAGCAGCTAAGTTACTCAGTAAGGACAGAACGATTGTGGAATGCAGGCCACACAGTGTTATGGCAAACACTTGATTGGAAAGAAATAGTTTTAATAAGTACAATCGTTCTTCTCATATACTGTACTTGGTTTACTTAATTGCTTTTCGACTGATATTTTTTCTCAATAAGATAACCTAATTGGAGATGTTGGCGAGTTTAACATCCGTGAGAGTGAAGGACTAACTCCACTTAATCATGAGCATATTTAACAATTAGGCTGTAGATAATAGTGGGGAGGGAAAAATATAATTTTTTAAATACTGCTGATGTACATATAATAAGCTTTAGTTTTATCATCATATTGCAAATATTTTTTAGCAGTCATTGATAGAAGAAATCAACAATTTTGTTTTGTATCTTATTGAAAAATATTTTATCATATTTTAAAATTTAGTTTGTATATTCTTTAGCATCTTATTAATTAGGCTCATAATTATATAATTTAAAAATTTGAGGGAGCTCTCTGCAGCACACTTGTAAATAATCTGATTGGTAGTCGGACCAGTTTGGTCCACTCCCCCACCCCCTCCCTTTTGGTGCTCAGACTTTTTTCTTCGCACATTTCTCTCTCTATTACTAAAGCTGAAGAATTTAAACTAATTATACAAGAATTTTCGAGAAAATTTAGCTAATTTTAGCTATTAGGTGTGTTTTTTGGTTGCTGTTAGTATCACTGAACAGTTCTAGAGAAAAAATAGATATATGGCGAAGATTGAATTTTCAGAACTAAATTTGTCAAGAACTTTAATAAAGACGAAGGAAAAAAGGAACCTGAAAGGTAAACAAAATTGTATTTATTTACTATGTTTTTCCATGCAGAACGATTGGTTTTTACCGCATATACTTATAATACTTGTTTACTTGCAATATTGGCCACTCTGTAAGTTCGAGATTAGAGCTGTTTTAAAAAAATAAGAAACCGACTGACTGCGGAGTTACCTATCGTTAAATTGTATAGAGATGATCACTTTTCCTGAATTTCTAATTTTTTCTTCACTTTTGTGCAATGATGGACTAACTGAGATCTCCGGGAACACAGTTTTGAGTTACCGTCGGAATTTCCGATCACAAGCGTTTTTGCGAACAAGATCAGTAACTGTAAATATTTTCTCTTTCTTATGAATCTTGTGCTCTTCTGGGCCGATAAGCAGGATTGAAAAAAAAACCCAGTTGGGGAAAAAATGATAAAACTTTTGATACTCATATACTGGAACCAGCCGACCTGAAGTTTTACCGGATCATACAAATTATTTAGAGCGCTTTTGGTGACTAAATAATGCAGCAGAGTGTCTTTATTTTAGGAGTGGTCGTTTTATTGATGCACAGGGCTAACAAAAGAATCATTATTTGAGCTGTCTGCCTCTCTCTATTATTATATTTTTAGAATTAAAAGCATTCAAGCCTAAATTTGTCTGAAATGTTATAGTTACAATAGAGAACTGTGCCTTAACCAAATGCAATGTGGAACAGATAGGTTAAAGTTTATTTCCTTCAGGTTTATTTTTTATGTTATAATCCTCATTATTCCCCTCTTCCATTACAACATTGTAATTTTCTACTTAGAGAAAATCAGAAAAAAAAAGTTACAAAACGAGAAACTTTTGCTGACGAGCTTGAGTGGTGAATAGTGAGAACATTAAATTCTGCTAACTACTTCCAACACTGCTGTTGGTGTTGGGGAAGAAATTTGCATTCCAATGATAAGTCAACATTTTATGATGAACACACAATAAATCGTTCATTAGTTAATAACAGAATGTTTTCTTAAATGTTCCTCGCCGAAGTATTCACCCTTTGAGTCGGCATACGCCTGCTGCTGAAAAATCTTATGGTAATTATGGGTAACGGACGCGCTTCATATCGCTGCTTGATTTTCTTTATTTTTTTCACAGTTCTTTATATTATTTCAATTGAAAAACGACATATGGATTGCCTAAACATTTCCTCTTTGGATTATATTTGCAAGAATCATTGTTTGTATCCTAACAAGTGGATTTCTGCTGTATTACTACCTCGTTATTCAACAACTAATCGGCCTCGCTTTGTTTGTCTACGACCTAAAGGTTACAACACATCCAAAGTCAAATACTACGCTAACTCAACTACCACCTTCAACCAAGCTCGTCTTACTTTGGCTGGTGACGTTGCTTCTAACCCTGGTCCTGAAATGGGTTTCTTGTCGTCACAATTTGACTTTGGAGCAATTTCTCAACCGAAGGAAGATTTAATTATTCAAAACGAAGATTCTCAATGTTATTACATTCCAACCATTGTTTCTACGCATCGACGACCATCAAAGAAAATTTACTCAAGAAACATCAACAATATCATCTCTATCACACGCGTTGGCCATCTACCGAGAACCATTGCTTCTAACCCTGGTCCTGAAATGGGTTTCTTATTGTCACAATTTGACTTCGGAGCAATTTCTCAACCGATGGAAGATTTAATTATTCAAAACGAAGATTCTCAATGTTATTACATTCCAACCATTGTTTCTACGCATCGACGACCATCAAAGAAAATTTACTCAAGAAACATCAACAATGTCATCTCTATCACACGCGTTGGCCATCTACCGAGAACCAAATCCACCAGTAATTTTGCTCTCCTCAATGTGCGTTCGATTGTTAAAAAATCAACTCATTTATGCGATTTGGTCATCTCCCACCATTTAGACATCCTGGCCATAACAGAGACTTGGCTTAAAGGAACCGAGGATGACAACCATGTTATTACTGACATCAACAACATTCTTCCGCATTTTAAACTCCACCACATACCAAGAAGGAATCGTAAGGGCGGCGGAGTCGCTTTGTTGATACGAGATGGTTATACCGTACTGCAAAATTCCATCATGAACACAAGCTCATTTGAGTACTTAGATGTGAGCATATCCAACAAAAGTGAGACATTCCGTTTAATTGTTCTCTATCGCCCTCCTCTGTGCAAAAAGAACAACACTAGAAATAGCTTTTTGCAAGAATTCTCATCTTTTCTTGAAGAACTTACATTATCAAGGCAGCCCATTATAATTGCCGGTGATTTTAACTACCATGTTGATGATCTATCAAATCCTGAACCTGCCTCCTTTCTAAATCTCCTTGAGTCCACTGATCTAATTCAAAATGTATCTGGATCCACTCATCGCCTGGGCCACACATTGGACTTGATATTATCTCGTGAAGAGAATAATGTTATAACGGATGTTCGCATTCTATCAGCCGACAATATTTCAGATCATAATTTGGTTACTTGTAAGGTGAAATGTACAAAACCGAAACCTTCTACACTACATGTTAAACACAGAAACACCAAAAGGCTCGATTTAGCTAGTATGATCAAAGACATCGAAGAATCTAATCTCATTACTAATCCACAGTCTTGTGTAACTGAGCTGACTACACAATATAATACTAATCTCTCGTCTATCTTTGATCAACATGCTCCTGTGAGCGAGAGATGGGTCACTCTGCGACCGCATTCTCCTTGGTATACTGATGAACTTCGTAAGGCTAAACAAGACAAACGTCGTCATGAAAGAAGATATATTTCATCTGGTCTTCAAATTCACCAAGAAATATTTATTGATTCCTGCAAACACTACAATGATCTTCTAACAGCGACAAAGACAAACTATTATCGGACTCTGATCAGCTCCTCTGACCAATCACAACTATTCAAGATGGTATCTCGCCTATTCTTATCGAAGAACATTGCTGCACTCCCTAATAATGATTCATTGGATACATTGACCGAAACGTTCAACGATTTTTTTATCAAAAAAATTGAGAAAATAAGATCGGATTTAGACTCCCATACTGCCCAAGCACCCGACATCAACGTCAATTATCCAGTCACCTCGTCGTTCCAAACTTTTCAACCTGTATCTGCTGATATTGTTCACAAACTTATTGTTCAATCTCCAACTAAGTCTTGTCAACTGGATCCCATTCCAACACGAATTCTAAAGTCAATTCCACACTTGACGCCAATTATAACCAAGATTATCAACGCCTCCATGGCTAACGGAGAATTTCCTGATCAGTTAAAACAATCCCTGGTATGTCCATCTTTAAAGAAGCCTTCATTGGACCCGAACTGTCTCTCAAATTACAGACCGATTGCAAATCTATCTTTTCTCTCAAAAACAATCGAAAGGGTGGTCGCAAATCAAATATACAGATTTATGGCCGAGAACCAGTTATTTCCAGCGATGCAGTCAGCATACCGCAAATACTACTCCACTGAAACTGCTTTAATAAAAGTCTCAAATGACATCCTAAGAGCTGTAGATCAAAAAGAAGAAGTAGTACTTGTTTTGCTAGACCTTTCCGCTGCGTTCGACACGATCGACCATAACATATTACTTGAAAGAATGGAGAAACGTTTCGGATTTAGAGGTATCGCACTAAAATGGTTCAAATCATACCTAGAACATCGTGTTCAGTCAGTGAAGATCAAACACTCCATCTCTAAGCCTCGACATATCTCCTACGGCGTACCCCAGGGATCAGTACTTGGTCCACTACTCTTTCTAATGTATACCTCGCCTACAGAAGACATTGTTGCTGAACATGGCCTAAACTGTATGATATATGCCGATGATTCGCAACTTTACATAAAGATAAACTCCTCTGACAGAATGCTAGGCATGGAAAGATTGAAATCATGTGTTAATGCAATCATGGAGTGGGCCAAGAAAAACAGATTGCAGTGCAACCCTTCAAAAACAGAAATCATTCATTTCCTCTCACGCTTCTCAAAAAATCCTCCTTTCTGTAATATCAATATTGGAGATGATATCATTAATTTATCTAATACTGTCCGAGACCTAGGCGTCATGCTTGATTCTGTGATGAACTTACGCTCGCATATAAATTCCATCTGTAAATCGTCGTCTCTAGCAATCAGAAATATTGGTCGCGTTCGTAAATACCTCTCGACGCAGCAAAATGAAAGATTGATACACGCCTTTATCTCATCGAGACTTGATTATTGTAATAGCCTATTGTACGGTCTACCGATTTGTGACATCGAAAAATTCCAACGGATCCAAAACACAGCTGCCCGCTTGTTAGTCGGTGCCAAATCAAGAGACAGTATAACACCTATACTTAGGAAACTTCATTGGCTCCCGGTCACAAAACGAATTCAATTCAAGATACTGTTGATAACATACAAAGCACTAAATGACATGGCTCCAACCTATCTTGTTGAACTTCTTAGTCGATATATTCCAGCACGAAACCTCCGTTCATCAAATATGAATCTACTTGAGGTCCCAACAATTCGAACTAAAACGTATGGGCAAAGAGCATTCTCCTACGCAGCACCGTATTTGTGGAACCAACTACCTGAATGCATAAAAAACGCCGAATCTGTTGACTCCTTTAAACGCTTATTGAAAACTTATCTTTTCAAAAATTAAGCCACCAGATTATTTGATATCGTACGTTGTCAAACATATGCATAACACGTAATAATTCATTAGTTTAGATAGAGTAGCGAATTGCATGTATAGGATTTTTATCGAAATTTTGTTAATTTGTAATTGTAAAGCGCATAGAGTTCAATTTTAATGCGCTATATAAGAACTTATTATTAAATTAAACTGGAAAGCTTGCGAATGGTGAACTGATTT